GGATATGATGATGCAGGCCTTCCAGCAGTGCATGGCAGCAACCTTTCGGTAGCCACAGATGCAGACCCAGGCAGCCTCCGTGCCTAGGGTGTCGGAAGGGCTAGAGACTCAGGAGGAAGATTTTCCAGAATTACCTGCCTCCTTCCAGGGGGACAGCGATTCGGATTCTGAAGAGGGCGAAATCAGAGAGGATAGACTCTCTGAGGACAAAGGCATGCCTCCTCCCAAACCTACCTTCTCTGGATTGTTCCAGCCCTCTCTGTACAAATCCCTTCTGTTCAAGGCCAAGACATCTGCCAAGCTTGGCATCAGGCCAACAGAAGCCCTGGCACAACCCCAGGAGTTTTCAGCAGAAACATTTTCGAGGAGCAGGCTATTGAGGCAGACACGGTGCCCACAACCAAGTCTTACCTAGACATGATTAAGCGGCAATGGGCCTCTCCCACGGCAGGCCCCATGCCCACTTCCACAGACAAGACCTTCTTCAACGTGGACAGGGACATGACCCAGGTGCTTTCACAACCCACCATCGATGCACTTGTCATGGCCTTGCATACGCCTACTAACATGCCAGGGGAACAAGAGGATGCCCTGAGGGCGAAAGACAAGAAAGCGGACCTCATCTTACAGAGGACGCATCAAGCAGCGGCCTGGGCAGTGAGAGCAGCCACCAACGCCTCCTTCTTCAACTGGTCTTGTCTGCTGTGGCTGCAAGTCCTGCAGCAGCGAATCCCCATTTCGTATGGCAGGGCCCACCAAGACATCAACAAGCTGCTGGCCGCCACCCAATTCTCCTCAGATGCCACCTTAGCTGCAGCCAGGTTTGCCTCCAGGGTGATCGCCTCATCTGTGGCATCTTGCAGGCTGCTTTGGCTGAAGCAGTGGCAAGCGGAAGTACGCCACAAATGGCGCCTGGCATCGGCCCCCTTCATGGGAGAATCCCTCTTTGGAGCAGCCCTCGACCCATTCCTGGTAGAGAACAAGGACAAGCAGAAGGTGCTCCCCGCTGTTCACAAAAAGTCCAACTTCAGGGCGGCGCCATAACCTAGACGCCCCAACTCTCGGGGGTAGGATTTTGGGGGGTCTTTCCAGGGTCAGGATTCCTTCAGGGGGTCGGAGTTTGGGTACTCGGGCCCCAGGCAGTACCAGGGAGGTTTTTCATCCAGGCAGAGATACTCAGATAGACAGCAGAGGGGCAGGCAGCAGAAGAGGTCCTTTCAAGGGAGCGGAGGAGGTGGTGGCGGGCACTCCTTCCGCAAGAACTAGACCTAGACCTAGCTCACCTCCCATTGGGGGGTGCTTGGCATACTTCGCTGACTGCTGGACTTAACCTCCTTGGACAAGTGGGTCCAGAACACCATTCTCACTCAAGTTCCTCACCAACCCCCCCCCCCTCGAGTTCTTTTTGGAGCTGCCCGGTGTCAAGCAACCCGACCCAGTGGTTGCTGATGCAGGAGGCCATCCAACACCTGTTGGACATCATGGCCATCCAGCCAGTGCCTCTAGAGCAGCAAGACCAGGGGTCTTACTCTATTCTCTTTGTAATNTTCATTCTCTGGATAAGCTTTGATTCAGAAGTACAGGATATTATTTAAATGATAACAGACATATATAAAACCAAATTCAAAACTGTTGCTTTTCATAATAAAATGATGGAGATAAACCCATCTGAATATTGTTGAAATCTGGCTGCAGTTTATGATATAATGGATAAAATCTGCATCCTTGGCCTTCATGCAACTTTTACTCCAGCAGATGGTGGGCGTAAAGTTGTCATTCATCATTTATTTACAATGGGCTTTATTTATTCTAGTGTCAACAGCTGCCCCAGGGAGGGAGTTATTGAATTCAAATGTGAAGCACTGGGCTATTTGCTTCCTTTCAAATTTGTCTTCAGAGCTTAGTTGCTAGGAGTCCATTCTGTACTCTAATAATGATTCATGTATTGTGAAGCCATTCAGTAAATTGGGTTGTCAGGGATTGCCAAAAAAAGGTTTAGGGGTCTTGTTCTTGATTTTTCCCCGTAATGGTGCTGTAGATTTTTAAAAAATATGTAAGTCTTATTTTCAAGAAATAGTGGCTGTTTATTTTGTTCCCAATCTCAGTAAAATAAATTTCATTGTAGAAGCTAAATAAACTGAGAATTCTCACACATGAGGAATAAGAAACTGTTGCTCTTGTTTTACTACAGGCTGGGCAGGAGTCCTTCCGTTCCATCACAAGGTCATACTACAGAGGGGCAGCAGGTGCCTTACTAGTGTATGACATTACAAGGTGAGAATCTTGCAGTTTAATGTGATTTAGACTCTTGTAAAGTATACTGGGTTGGTGGTCTACTAGTTCATGCTTTATTTACATTTTATTGCCATCAGTGGACCTATTTTAAGCTTTATGAAGATGGATTATATCTATTGTCAAAGTACGTTCAGGTTTTGTAGGACTGAATGTGTATATTCATGTTCAGTTTTAGAGATAATATTTAATGTGGCTAAGATGAATACTTAATTCTGAAGTGGATCTTCTGTGTAGATGATAAAGCTTGTAATCTGAGACAATATTTCATAGTGTTCTGCTGCTACATTCTTGAGCATTTATACTTTTTTGTAGAGGAACTCAAATTCCCAACCAGATGAATGCTAGGTATTTTTTTGGTTAAAGATTACATAGACACTGAGGGGTGTGTGTGTGTGTGTGTGTGTGTGAGAGAGAGAGAGAGAGAGAGAGAGAGAGAGAGAGAGAGAGAGAGAGAGAGAGA